CAACCGGGCGGGGTCGGGGCTGTCGGCGTCGAGGCCGGACATCAGCTGGGCCGCATGCGCCGCCTGGCGAGCCTCATCGGCAGCGGCCTCTTGCTCCCGGCGCAGGGTCCAGCGGTCCTGCTTCGGCGGGGCACCCGGCGCGGGCAGGGCCGAGCAGTCCACGCCCAGGGGTTGCAGCCACTGGCGCAGGGCCTCGACATAGCTCGGCTGGACCGACGCCCAGCGGGGCTGGTGCTTCTCCAGCAGGCGCTTGGCCGCGGCCTGGTCATCCAGGGCCAGGGCCGCAGCGATCCGCACGTCCACGTCAGCCACGAGCAACGACCCATCGAAATCCCGCACCGCGGCCACGCCGGCATGGCGGCCGAACCACGGCAGGGCCTGCTGCTGCGTGGCGTCGATCAATGCGTCGGCCAGCGCAGGCAGGTCTTCACCGACGCCGACCCGGATCTCCGAGCCAGCCAGGCGATGCCCCTCGGGCAGAAGGCTTTGAAGGCGTTCGCGCAGCTGCCCGTGCTCTTCTCCGACCTTGTCCAGCAGGTCCTGCAGCCAGGCATGCCCCGGGCGCGCAGCCTCCACACGCTGGATGGCCGGGAACTGCACCGCGAGGTTCACGTAGAACTCACCCATGGCCCCGGCGTTGTGCTCGCCCGACTGGAAATTGATGATCTGCCAGTGACGATCCGGCCCCTCGCCGACCTCGCGCAGCAGGTTGCGCGCCTTGCGCTTGAAGCCCTGCGGCGTGAGGGCCTGACCCAGACGCTTGGCCAGGTAGTCGATCTTCAATCCGGCCTTGTCATCGGGGCCGGGGCAGAGCAGTTCTCGAGACATCGGCCCTCCCGCCTGTGGAGGTCATGTTGCCATGGGTGCGGGGCTTGAATGTCCACGCGTCGGCGTTGCCGAGGCGGCGAGCGGTCGAGCGACCCTTTGCTCTGCACCGCCACCAGCTGGGCACCCGTGGCTGCAGGCTGAACTCGACGATGGGTCGGCCCCTCCGTTCTGCGTCACTGCTCCTCCGGCAAAATCGCGCGCTCTAAAGCGGCTGCCCTGCAAGCCGCAACTGCAAATCCTGGGAGGGGTAATGACTATCGCCAACATCGTGAAACTCGCGACCTGTGCAGCCGCGCTCGCCGCCCTGTCAGCCTGCGGAGGCGGAGGGGCCGGAGGCGGTAGCAGCGGCGGCGGTAGCAGCGGCGGCAGTAGCAGCGGGGGCGGTAGTAGCGGGGGCGGTAGTAGCGGCGGAGGAGTCGGCGGATCAGGCAGCTCGGGTCCGGACAACTCTTGGCTGCAGTTCTCGCCGTCAACCCTTGACCTCACGGCCTATGAAGAGGGCGCCAAGGTCACGATTGCGGTCTCATCGAGCAAGGTCGTCGGTGAGGTGTTCAACGCAGCCATCATCGATGCGAAAGGCGTATTCACAACCGATGCCAGCCTCAAGGTCGAAAGCGACCTGAAGTACACGGCCAAGCTGAACGTGGCGCCCAACCTGGTGCCAGGGAGCTACGCGGGCAACCTTGAAGTTCGCCTGTGCAGGGACGCTGCCATCGTGTGCAAAGACCCGATCCCGGGCTCGCCCTGGCTTGTGCCCTACAACATCACCGTCAAGGCGTCGATCAACTTGAGTTCGTTGAAGCCGTTGGCGGGCGCAGGCCCCTGGTCAACGTTCCAGGGCAATGCCATGCACAGCGGCTTTGTGCAGGCAAGCCTGGACCCGACCCAGTTCAGCAGACGCTTTCGCGCCAACGCCAAGCTCAGTGATGCGGTCAGCGACAGCGGTTATGTCTGCGGCGTTTCCGGCAGTCGCGATGCAACGAACTGGACGCTGACCTGCCTCGATGAATCCACTGGCCAACCCCGCTGGCAAACGGTCCTAGGTTATGGATACCAGGTCAACCCGCCAGCGCTGGTCGACGGAAAGCTCTTTGTCACGACAACGGGCCAAAGCAACGCATCCTTGCGCGTCTTCAGCGCGATCAATGGCCAGTTCTTGACCAAGCAAGACTTGACGTCACAGTGGGACACCTACCTCGCACCGACCGTGCTGGATGGCTCGGTCTACACGAACAGCGGCACCTACGGGGGCGTCGTCAAGCTCGACGCTGTCAGCGGCACCCTGATTTGGGGCACTGCGCTGCCGCAGAACGATTTTTGGACCCCTGCCGTGCTCGATGGCAAGGTGCTTGCCTTTGTCGACAACACCTTCTACGAAATCAGCGCCAGCACCGGGAAGGTGCTGGCTGAAGTCAGCAACTTGAGCGGGCCCGGCGGTGGCGGGGGGGCCATGGGCAGTGCGGTAGTTCCGGATGGGGCGACGACAGCCTATGTGAGTCGGATGGGGCTCGGCGGCATCAACGGCGGCCATGTGAGCAAGATCGACCGCACGCTGGCCAAGGCCGTCTGGCGCGTGAATGCTGCGGTTCGCAGCAATCCAGTTGTCGTGGGTAGCACGGTCTATGTACGGACATCGACGGACCTCGAGGCACGATCGACGAGTGACGGGCGTTTGCTGTGGAGTTGGGCTGCGCCCGCGGGCTTCGATCTGCCGTACCCCTCAGTTGCACCGCTGATCGTCGTTGGCAACCATGCCTTTACGAATGTCGCGGACGGCACCGTCGCCATCGATCTGAGCACCCGAAAGGTCGTCTGGCAGGATCCTGCCTCCGGCGCCTTGAGCGTCTCGCCAAATGGCATCCTGTACATCAGCAGCTCCAGTGGCCTCGTGGCCGTCAATCTGCGCTGACTGGTTGGGGTCGGCAGGCGCATCGGCCTAACTCATCATCCATGCGGTGGTTCTTTGCGCCACGATCAAGGCCGCGCACTCAAGGTGGCTGTCGGGCAGCGCCGGGTCTGGCACCGTCGAACTGACGCGGTGAACTCGCTGAGCAGCTGTTCTGTGGACAGGGTCTGTTCCGTTGACAGGCGGAGCCGCACCCTGACCACCTCGTGGCCCCACGCCGGCACTAGGCGCCAGCCACGTAGATCAGGAATGCCAGATACCCCACGAACACGAGCCCCACGATGG